ATTTTCCCCTGTTGCTAATATTTCCTGTTGTTCTTTTCCTTGTCTTGTCCTGTCCTGCTTGCAGACAGCCAGTGCTCCGATTCATGCTCTTGCCCAGTTTTCCCAGTAGGACACAAACTTTGCTCTTCACATCAAACATCAGCATATTGATTTTGCTTCTCTTTCCACGAAGTTTTCTCTATTCAGTCACGTTGCTGCAGAAAACCGGACCTTGGCTCTTTCCCCAGCCACACTGGACACATATTTGCTGACATGTCGTTTCAATTAGACTACCCAAGAGCTGCACAGAAACAGGAAACCACTCTCAACCTCAAACCAATGCAGACACCGGAAACCAGGGGTAGACAGAAGTGAGCTGCAGCTTCATTAACAGCAGTCAGAGCAGCAAAAAGCAGTACTTGCAGAAGGACAGCAGACCTTGTGGGGAGGTATGCTGTTCTGACAGCCATTAGTTAAACCCATGTGTTAAATCCTTCCCACTTTGCTGTCTTAGACCTATTTCAACTCACAAAAGTAGCACTAGCCATCAGTGGCTAGGGGTTCATCTTCACCAAAGTCATCCACAATAACAAGTTTATTGCAATGAAAAGACACACAGACCTCTTCTGGTCCTCTTGGCACTGTAGCCAGACCATGAGGGAGCTCAGTTAGGAAGAAACATAACCAGCCGCTGAGAAATATACGGCTGTGGCTAGGCAGCTTTCTACTGAACCAGAATGTCTCATACCTAACTTAGCTTGCAAGTAGCAAAACCACTATATTACTCTGCCTCCTGGTATGTAGATATACTCTGAGACATGAACAGCAATACTTGGGAGGAAATCACTGTCATTCTCACATAATCATCTCTAGTGGGTTCTTCAACCAAGAAATTAAATTTGGCATGTAATAGATACAAAGTTTATTTTTCAAAATCGATAATTTTCAGCCTAAGAATCCACCTCACTGAAAATTTTGCCAAAAATCACTGCATTGCTAATTCTTTTTGCTGAAGTAGTATATTTAGGGAATATATATATATATATATATATATATATATATATATATATATATGTAAATAAATTCTAAGTAGTGTTTCTGGTGGACTGCAGATCTGGCAAGATTGTGTTGCAACCTAAGAAGAACTGATGTCAGTGGTGATGCAAGTAGTAGAGCATGGGAGGCAAGTTTTTAAGCATTGCTTAAGAAAAGCAAAAGATGTATAATGGGAATGATGTCTTCATTATCAACATCCTTTCACCTGACAGTCTGTGCAAGTGCTGCAAACTAGTATTTATCAAGACATCAGGAGTGGCACAGCACAGCTAGCCCCTTCTCTGGCTTTGCACTTTGGAAGTCTGGTCCCTGATTGCTTGTTTGACTCATAAAGTAATGAATGCTGTTATTTGCTTGCTGATGGGTGCTCTTTAATATATAAGATAATGTATAACTTCATTAATAATTTAGTATAATGCAACCTTGACACCCAAAGCAGAGGAGGGAGGAGGAATATCTTCTTCTTGACTTACAGCCATCAGTTCTGTGGTATAGACTGTACAAGGCACCCACCCCAAAAGGCACATTTAACTACCAGAAGTCTTCACTATTCTGCAACAAAGATTACTCTGTCATAAGCAGCCATGGGGAGGTTTAGCTGCACAGCAGGACCTGGATCCAGGCCTAATTCCATGGTTTGGATCACAATCCAACAGGTATTAGAGATGAGAGGCCATTCAGAAGGACCACATTTTTTTCTGAGATGTGTAGTCAGACTGGCATCTAGTGGGATTTTGAAATGTGCCTAGGAGCCTAACTGGATTTCGGAAACCCTCTTTTAGCACTGATCAACAGTTTTTGGTGGCTAAAATCTTCCAGACTGGCACGTGGTTTTGATTTGTAGTCAATCTTCTGCTAGCAGAGCAATTCAAATCTAAAGTTTCAGTTCTTGTTTCTCTCTCTACTTGATTTGTTTTTTTATTTGGAAAACAAAAAAAAAAGAAAAAGGCTGTTTTGCTCTTGGACAGAGCTAGGAGTGGCAGCTGAATGTGATAAACAGGAGACAAATGCATCAGCTAACAGGGCTTTTTTTAGAAACTTCAAGTATCACTTGAGAGAAGATTTGGCACAACATGTTTTTATACAAGTACCACGTGTTGGATAGTTTGGTGTGATTATGTTCTCAGCAGAGATGGAGAGTGACAATACATGCTTTACCTCTCATTTCACTGGGAAGATAGCCCTCCAGATGACATGACAGAGCTGATGTTGTTGATCATCTGACACCCAAATGATAATTTACAGAGGCTTTTATTGAGCTGACCTATGTCACAGAATGACATTAAAGCCTATTGGTTATCCCTGTTTCAATGAAGAGACTTAGCCTGACACGAAAATCTCAGGATTATTGAGTTTGGGTGAAAATATTGAATACTTTGATGATGGTTCATCTTCACATGTAAATCAGATGGGAAAGAAAAAGAGTGGTCATAACTAGAAACACAGTTAGAAAAGAACTTGGATATTTGGTACATATGCAGAGACCATCCATTTGTAGATTATGTATTTCTTCTAAGCCCTTTATTCAATTAGACACCCTTCAATTGCCAAGAGACAGTATTCATAAGATTCTTATATTGAGAAAAAAAAACAGTTAAATTGTTTAATTTTCATTTTACTTTTATTCAAACAATTTAAGTCGGTTTTGCTTAGGAAAAAGTTTGTTCACTGGCATTTTTTTTTAAAGTATCAGTTTGTGTATGCATCTCTTGATGTGGGATGTTATATTAAATTATTCATTTTTACAGAATGGAAATTAATTATTGTGTATGAAATCCCAAACACATATGGTCACAGTGCTGGTTAGATCTGCCTCCTGCTATGCTTTAGAGATTCAAATTTGGAGGTAGTATGTTATTTTCCATGCCAAGACCACCTATGGTTTTCAAGATATAAGTATCTGAAAATTAGCATTTTCACACTGAGCACTTGTTCCAGCTTTATTATACATTGACGACTACCATCTTGTAGCTACATGTACTAGAAGGGATGTTAGCAATCTATAAATGTAATTTAAGTTCTTCAGAATTTCACTGACTGACTGCATTTTCTGCATCTACCTTTAGCACCATGTAACATCAATCTCTTCTTTTGAAATCTCTCAGAATGTCTTTTGACTGATAGCAGTGATTGGCATTAATTAATTTCAAGGGTCAGTTGTGAATGATTGGTTTGTCATGGTCGAGGACTGAATTATATACGATCAGGAGAGCGTGCTGAAATGGTCAGTCAGTCAGTGAAAATCAAAGAACATAAGTTCAGATGGAAAAGAATTCACAGCTCTGTTTATGAATGCAGCCAAGACGCTTTACATCTGAAATTAAGGGGTTTTGGTCTTGTCTACTCTTAAGAAAATAGCCCAATCTCTAACTGCACTTGTGACAATAAAATGTATAAAAAAAATTCTATTTCGTTCTGTGAATGTCAAGAAAAGTCCTACTAAAATGATTCAGAAAATCTGTTCTTTATTGTATATTTATAAAAGAAAATCAGATTCGTTTCTGTTAGTATATAATAAACTTAACTCTTCATTAATGCATCTATATCATATGCTATCAAAAGTAGAAAGATTAGAAGAGAAGCAACAAACAATAACGATCCCTGTTGTTTTTTTGGGTTTTTTTGTGTTTTGGTTTGGTTTTACTTTACATTCTGTTTTGTTTCCTCTGTTTTGCTTCCCCTATAGTTTGTAGCTAAAGGGAAAGTGAAAAAAAAATATTATATGCACAGATTATGCTTGAGGGAACAATATCTTTTTCCAAAAAAAGGGTCACTCATTATTTTTTGTTAACTTATATGTCGGTAAAGGTTAATCTTGAAAGTATTCTAATCAAACACATCAATGAAGGATCAATGCATGCAGCTTTTGTAACAGTGTAAATACTTGAATTCATATGTCAGTACGTATGGGAAATTATGGAATAGCCATACTGGGGAATATCTTAATAGATAAGTATTTAGAAACCTACTGACTGCTGATGGCCTAAAGGCTAACTCAATTTACTCACCTTAACATCTCAATTGGTGGTGGTACAGATGAACAATTATTCAATAACAATATAATATTTTTTAAAGAAAACATTTTTTATTCATTTTATGTATATTACAAGCATTCAAGACAGAAAGATGCAACATTCATCAATCTATATAAGCTCTCGATTCACCATCTGAGAATATCTAGCATTTAGTGCAATATATTCTAATACATAGCAATGATATCTGGACTATGCACACGGTCAAAAAACAGATTGGGTATATTTTACTTCTCTGCAACTTTTTTTGCATTCAAAACTTGAATCATATTTCTTAGAAAAATGAAGGGTAAGACAGTGCAAAGAGTATTGCTATTCCAGCAAGTTTTAAGAGTAAATACTTTGCTATTTTATCATAAAGACAAAGGCCAGCAGTTCATATACAATAGGAACAATTTTTACTTTATAGGATGAAATTAAAACTTTGGGCAGACAATAAGATACTGATGGGCTAGATTAGACTTTGAGCTAGTCACGTTGAGTATTTGGGGGCTTTTAGAACGGCAGTCCACACAGCTGGAAAGGTCCGTTTAAGTGATTAGAGATTAAACAGCAAACTAAGGTGTAACACGTACAGGAGATGAAAGGCAGAATGTCTGCAGTAGGAGCATACAAACCACAGCTATGATCAGCTCTGTTAAATATATTCCTAGTGCTACCCATGCAAAATAGCACAGTCTACGTCTCTAAGGGTTCATCAGCAGGATTGTGGAAGGACCACCTGACGCAATGATTTTCATCCTGTGCTATATTCTAACATGCATGACCATCCTAGCCTGTGAAAGCTTATAGGAAAGAAGAAAAGAAAATCCAACATGGATGTTTACTCAAAAATGAAGAGGCTACTTTGCACTGATACGTGTTGCTCACTGATATGTGTTGCAGATAGACCCACAGTACTAGTCAACCATCCCTGGGAGAAGGCACCACAAACTTTGGCATGCATTGGAACCATGTGAATGTTGTCAAGAGCATGTCACAGGGTAGGAAGTTACACTCAAGGAACTTCTCACAGTGGCACCAAGAGCTGCAGCTCTAGGAACCAGGAAGCCTGCCTGTGAAAGACATGCACATCAGGAAGCAGCACCACTTTTGCCTTCTCTGTAGTCAACACAAGCAAATGATCAGGTAATTCTGATTCTGCAGAACCATAAATCAAAAGCATCTCAGAGGAAAAGATCCTAAATACAATCTAAAAAGCTTGGCTCTAGCAAAGTCACTTTTAATATTTTTTTCTAGCTACAAAAGGGCTTGAAGCCAAGATTTGATATGAACTTTTTCATGGTCATGCAAGATATGACTACAGATCTATGGAGGTAAGGTGATGTTTCATGGTGCATTACTAATACTGAACTCATCAGTACTAGTTCTCCTCATCTTATTCAAGTTTCACATTATCACTGTTTTCAGTCATCAATGACAGATTCAAGAGAACTCTAACATAAAAATCTCACTGATCTTTATTTAAATGGACTTCTTTTGTTTGTTTAATGGCAATTCTAGCCATATCATTGCTGAGAAAACTCAGTATATGTTCTAAATGCAATCTCCAGGTTAAAACTCCATTAGAAGAATACAAAACAGTTTTCTAGTACATCTTGGTGACTGTAAGAGGGTTCTATGAAGCAGGATCTTTTGAGAATAGTAATGTCACCATTAACTTGCCACAGAAATGAGAATAGTCCAGTGAAGTGCAAAATTTCACAACATTTCACTCTCAAGAAGCCATATGAATGGGGCCTATGACAGTGAGTGGCACCTCAGTGTTCTCGAGAACGTCATGGTACACTAATCTAGCATTGTTTGTAATAAAAAACTGTAAGTATGATAAATGCCAGCTCTTCCCATCTGCTTCTCAAATCGAAACAGATCCAATTTCTTAAAGGTGTTGAGCCAAAAGTGGACCTTCTGTATTTGTAAACTAAACTAGATATAAATTGTTTTCTTTCTATTGTTAGAGTTATATCCTTTCTAATTTTAAAAACATAGAGACCACTGTCATCATAATAGTGTCACAATACAGGTGCATTTCATAACACAGGTACATGGTTTTCATTACCAACAAAGCTGGAAGTGGGTGTTATTTATTAATCCAATAGTACCTAAAGTTCCAGCCCTGTTAAGTTCTCAAACAGACTAGGATCTGCACAAATATAGTACTTCCAATCTGTGTATGGAAACCATGCCATCAATAATCCCACACATTTAGAATACTCAGTAAATATCAAACTTCTGTTAAAGAATCAAAGATGGACAGCAATGCTAACAAATATGGAATGAAGAGAGAATCAGGATTGCAAATCATCATGGACATCAGTGATAAACCAGGTTAGAAAAAGTTAAAATAACTAGGCAGTGCTTTTTCCACAATAAAGTTGATAGAAAAACCAGTCATCCTTTCAAAAAAGTGAATATATATATATATATATATATATATATATATATATATAATTTATACCAGGCAATTTATACATATATAATTTATATCAGGCAATTCTGTTCTTGAGATCTCCTATATACATTCCAAAATATTTAAAACTTGTGATACCCCACTGGAACATGACACTCAGCTCTGGGCTCCTCAACACAAGAACTACAAGGACCTATCACAGTGGGTCCAGAGGAGAGCAATGAAAATTATCAAAGGGATGGAGCACCTCTCCTACAGAGACAGGATGATGAAGCTGTGGTTGGTCAATGTGGAGAAGATGAGGCATTGGACAGAACTCATTGTGGCCTTTCAGAACTGTAAGAAGGCTTAATAAAAGGAGATACAGAGACCTTGTATACAGGAAGACAGTGACAGGACAAGGGGCAATAGTTTTTGAAAGAGGGCAGGTTTAGATGAGAAATTAGCAAAAATTTTTTTACTCAGAGGGTGGTGAGGAACTGGAACACATTTTCCAGAGAAGTTGTGGCCAACCCATACCTGGAAGTGTTCAAGGCCAGGCTGGATGAGGCCCAAGCAACCTGATCTAGGGAATGGAATCCCTGTCCGTGGCAGGGGTTTTTGAACTAGGTGATCTTTGATCTTTAAAATCCCTTTCAACCCAAATCATTTAATTATTCAATGATTCTACTAAGCAGTATGAGAAACCATGGCAATAGACACTTTAAAAAAAACCTGAGACAGGAAAAGAAAATAGGTTGATAGAAAAGTAACAAGGTCACATGGCATGCATACACAGGTGATGTGCATTGGGTGACAGCTGGTACCTGGAAGCTTGCAATATATTGTAAGGCTTTTTCTTTACCAGAAAGTTGGTGTATTTCCAAACATTGGTGAAAAGCAGAAACACTAAGAGTGGGTCAGCCTCCCACAGTTCACATCTGATCCATTGAGAGTAGGATTAAATGTGATTGCCATAAATACTCGTCTATTCCCATGTAAACTGATGGCAATATATACAAACAAAAGTAGCTGTGTGTCAGCCATTTAATCAGGTGTCACAACTTTATTAATTTAGTATGTACACAAGGACAGAAGTTTTCCAAGGAGAGTGCAGTTTCTGATAGGGTAGGTGTATCTCTGATGGTTTTTTTATTTTCTCAAGAGAAAATAACCCTGCTTTAGACACTTGCAATACTAGTGAAGCAGTTTAACAAAACAGCAAGCTCTGCAGGAAGAATGCTCAGGGCATTAGGTAGTGATCAAACTAATGATCAGGCAATGTAGGTAAGTGGAGAACTATCAGTATACAGCTGACACGAGAGTTGCAAAGAGCTTACCCATCCACTTTCACCCTATTTATTTAAAAAACTCTTACAGAGACAGTGCAGATCAGTGCTACCATATCAGTAAACTTAGGGGGTGACAGCCCATGTTGAAAAGTGAAATAACCTACAATTTTCTCTGTTAGCATTTGTCAGCCAAATAGAGAGCAGAGTGCTCAGACAGTTTCTAATTCCAGTACCAGCAGGCTATGGCTACCAATCAGGCAGGAAAAGACAAGGGTTGAGAGTCTAGCTACATTTACCCAAACAGTTAGACTCCCAGGACAGGGGAATATGAACTAGTAAGTTACTTCCCTGGCCTTCTTTCTGTACTGTATTCTTAGAGTGATTGTGATGTCTTGGATAGTCTGTTAATTATCAAGTTCACAAAAATTAGGGTTTCTCCTCATATACAGTGTACTGGTGTCAGACCCTTAATTGAGTTTTACTATGAACTTTACATTTTGGCTGCCTATGTTAGCAGATACCAGCAATAAGCTGCATGGGTGTATCCTACATACCTACAATGCCAATATAACTCAGGACTCTTTCATGGTTACAGTCCATCAGAGCTATTGCTGGGATTCAACAAAGTCATTTGGATGTTAAATTGTGTTGAATTTGCTTGTTGAAAGTTGGTGCTCACAATAGAAATAGATAATAATATCTGGGTATTGAATCAAGAATGGATAATAGTTCTAGCTGTGTTGGCTCCCTACTGTCTCAAAAACACCAACATTTTAAAGTTCTGTAAAAAGACAGAAAAATTGAAGAAGATTTTAATGGATCATTTTAAGCCTTTAATGAGAATGAGGGTACATCTTGGACACAGGTCATAAAACTGGCTCAAGACTGACAACAATGCATAATGACTTTGCAAAGGAATCCCCATTATCAACCTAATAGTCAGGAAAAGATAGATTAGGATGGCAAAGTGTTCACATGTGGCCTCTTGGGGATCATTTCTTAAATTAATTCTTAACACGCAATGCTGTAAAAAGATGATTTGTTGAGACTTGAGGATGATTTCTTTCCCAGATATTTCCATGGTTTTAGCATGGCTGATGACATATTTCCTCCTAAGGTTGTGTGCCCAGAAAAAAAAGACAGGAATATATTAAGTGGCATAAAAGCACAGTTTAACAAGCATCTTTAACTGCATTCATCAGGATTCATATACTGCAGAGCAAAAATACAGATTGCTTTGAATCTTTGATAGACACAAGGAGAAGTGCTGAATACAGGTTTTCTCTACAAGGACCACTGAGCTTAAAAGAATTAGAGTCAGAAAATTCCTCTGTAACGTCATGGCTGGAGCAAGTCTTCACTAATCCCAGTGGCTGTCAATAATCATGTGAAAATTCTTGGTGCATTTTGTCCCATTTAAAACATAAAATTTTATATGGATGCCTGTTAACATGGACATCACAGAAGGGGATCAGCCTATGATGTTAAGTTACAGACTCCACTGGAAAAAATTATCCATGTATTTGAAAAAAGAAATCTTTCTGTCCTTTCTGCAAAATGGTGGGTGGTATCTGCCAAAAGAGCACTAAAATATCATTATATCAAACTCTCTGGGGACATTTTGTGAAAGGATAAAGAAAATATAAAGATATCAACTTTGTGCAACCTTTCATGAAGCAGGATGATATAGCAGGACAACAAACTGCTTCGATTGTGTTCATGTTAATGAAGAACAAAAATAATCATAATAAAATAAGTTGGTTTGTATTTATTCCACCATGAAAAGGCTAATAATTACCTGGCCCAGAGCTGGCACAGAAAACTAAAACATTCATCAGAAATCAGACTTATGGAATCATGCTGCTTATTTAACATCTATTCCTCCTCATAACAACTTTGAGTCTATTCACCAGTTTCTTTGTCCATATCACCCACTGGCTTTGAGCCTTCAGTGATGAATATTTCCTCATTCTGACATACTTGTCGTATCCCAGTTCAGTTTAGAAATCACAAAATTAATTAGATTTTATGAGTACTTTGAAAATCAACACCTGAACAGTAGAGAAATGCCGCATCAATTTTTTTCTCCACAGAGAAAATTCCTCCTGCAGTTTGGCACTAGGTCAAAAACAGATCAGTAGTGAACCAAAGAAACGGGATAAGGAATCTTATGAGATGTAACGATATTGCTGAAGGAGGCATTATAGAAGGCGCAAAAGGAATCCAAAGCTTTTGCAGTGAGGAAAGAAGATGGCACAGCATATACATCTGTGAGAAACCAATATACTTTTCTGGTTTTAAATACTATGAGTGGTCCTTTACATACCTATGTAAGGATGTGGAAAGACCTCTAAAAGTTTTGTTCCATGTATACAATAACATGAAATCTGTATGCTATGTCACTTAGCTGAACTGGGATACATTTTGCAGAGGGCCAGAATTTGGTGTGGGCTATATGATACTCTGAGTCAAAATCAACTAATGTCAATAGGGTCCCATCTGCTGCCTTCAGCAGACTTTGGATCAGGTTCATTGCATACTGATAAAGATCAGGTAGAAGGGGGCCTTGAATTCTCATCTGATTTATGCTGAGTAATTGAATACAAATATAAAGACAATATAAATAACTTCGGAA